ACATAACAAAACCCCCAAAATCCAAAACAAAAACACAAACTAGCTAGGTCACTTCCTTTTCCAAGATGATGTAAATACAAAAAGTTAGCAACATATGTAACAGAAAGAAACTTGCAGAGGTGTAGGTTGTAGATGTGTTGGTGTAAGGACATAGGCAGACAAGATTCTTTGGGTGAATCTTACATCTTTTATTAGACCAACTAAATAGTTGGAAAATGCTTTTCTTAGAACAAAACTTACATATTTAAAAATATAAGTTGTTACTACTGAGTGATAAAGGACATGTAAAAAAAATGGAGGTGACTGGCCAATTCCCTTCCTTTTGTAAAAATGTACATTAGTCTTATCTTTAGTTCAGTCAACAGATTTTGAATGGTGTAACTAAAACAGAACCAGACCCAGGATTTGTAACCCATGTTCCCTTTTACTGTAATCTGTAAAAGAACAAAAAATTCTCATTACACATGGCTATTTTACTAATTATCATAATAAGCCAGAGATCAGTCTGACATTCCTAGCACTGTTACTTTTCTTTAATGTCAGATATATTTAATACCCGATTATTTTCTTTATCTTACCATAAAATATTTATTTTAAAATTCAAAATATCTCAGTATCAAACTGAAGGAGTATCTTCATTAACTGGTCAGAGCAGTTGTTCACTGTGGCTGCCTGCAGACATGGGAAAAAAACCCCAAACGATGCCTTACTTTAAAGCTGGTGTGTCCCATGCCAAGCCCAGCATATGCCCAGAAGAGGCAGCATGTTAATTGTACCTGGCTTTCCTCACATCTGTAGGAGATTGAGCGCTTTAGTGGGTTTTTTTGGCATTTTTATCTAATAGCCAATTGAATCAGCTTTAGCTAAAAGCACCAAAAAGCCCTGCTGAAGCGCTCAATGTATACCAACGCTGCAGAGCCAGGTCAAACTAATGCACACTGCTTCCATTAGAGCACATTTTCTGCCCCACATCTGTTCATACCCTTAGTCTCAAAACAACAATTTGAAACTTTCATGTGCAACAACTACCCCCTTTCCTCTGCAGTCAAAAGGAGAAGAGCCAAAAAAGGCCTGTTCCTTCAAGGTAGTGAATAGCCTCAACTGCTATCAGTTGCAAAACTGGGCCAGGTTGACTATGCCACTCATCCCAGGGACCAGCCTTGGGGTATGGAAAAAAACCAGCTGCTGCTGCAGCTGCACAAGCAGAAGTTGCCACCGACTGTATGTGTTGCAGCTGTTCTGGATAGCTGGATGCATTATTAGGCCTTTAACACCCACTGACTTGGTAGGAATTGGAGACATCAAGAACCTCATTGTATCAGGCCTGGAAACTTGAATGAAATCAGTACAAAGAAAACTCACAGAAATAGAGGGCAAAAAGAAGGAAAAGATATTTATACCAACAGATTATGCATATCTTAAGGAAACCTGAATGGGACTCCTTTTGTTCAGCATACATCAGTCCACAGGTGACACTGCTCACTGGAATCCTAAATGATTATGCTCTAAATACTTTTCAGAACAGAGCTAAACATATCCAAGAGACCCTATCTAACTAGTTTCTTCTTCCTGAACTTAGAGGCAGTTTGAAAAATGCCAGGAGCAAACCAACAAGACTGTTATGCATCTCTGTAGGGAAACAAATAGGATGGTCATTAAACACAAATATGCAGGAAAAATGCAGTCAGGATTGTAAGAGAAGTCTCTACCAGAAGACAAAATGAGTGTAACTCTAGGTTCTTACACAACTATTAGGCATGTTCTTGGCTTCTTTAAAATGGACAAATGGAGAAGACACACTTATACACTGACTGAGGGCAGTCTTTGCAAAGTCATAGTGACTCTTGAAATCAGAGTAGACCATGTATCCTATCAGGCTCTTCCCTTCATCATATGGCATAAGAACTACCAGTGGGTAGCAAAAGAGGATTATAACAGTAAGAAAGGGGACTATAGAACACAGAAGATTGATAGCTTACTTGGCAAGGTTTTGAAACAAATGGTTCCAAAACTGAAACTTTTGCTTACATTGTCTGGTTGCATACTTGAGGAAAGTAGTGAGTACTGGAGGATGTAATGGGAAACAGCCTCTTTGACAAAGAACTTCTTGGACAAAAACATGATGATGGAGAAAATGTGGTTCTGGGGCTCATGACAGCTTAGATCTTTGTTATTCCAATCCTGCATACTTCAAGCAACACCACTAATCTCATCAGATGTGGCCTAAGGTGGCCTCCCTCCTTTCCCATTATTCTAGCTGAGGTCTGAAAATGATGCAACAAAGTTGCTGCGACTTCCACATGCAGATGAGGATTGTATAAATGATGTTCATCCCTATATGGCTAAAAGCTCTCTGGTTTCAAAAGAACAAGTTTAATGCCTATATTGTGTGAGTACACAATTTATGTATTGTTTCATAGTGAAAAATGCTTGGCTTTTGATACACTCAGTTGAAAATGTGCTTTAAAAAGTGTTTATCTATGTTAATACTAGTTTCTTATGTTACTATGTGTTAATCTTTGACCAACTAAAGGGGAGTTAAAGCTGAGAGTATAGCACAAATTACAGGAAGCCCTCACTATTCATGGGTTTGACATTTACGGTTTCAAATATTCACAAATGCTGAACCCACTTCTTAAAGACACTTAAAGGAGCTCCTTGGGAGCTCTGTACTTACTGCTGCCATGTTACTGCTGTTGCCAGAGTGGCAGTGCCCCCCACCCCGCCCCG